TTTTTTTTTTTTTTTTCAAAAAATGATGTAAATGGAAGGAACCTACCTATCAACCTCCCAATTCTCATATATCAGAGAATTGAGAGCCTCAAAATCCTGAATATATTCAAGTAATTCAACTACTTATGATCAAGCAGATCGAATTCAAATTTTCAAAACTTAAGCAATTACAGTGGTGAATGCTTTGATGCCTTGCAAAGTGAATTTATTTTTTTATATTTCAAGCAAGCAACGTGGAGAGGGGAGATCGAATACCGCTAAAATTTATTCAAAAATCTTCTTAACTACTTGAGCTACAAAGTTTTCTCAAAAATCTTCTTAAAAGCTAGAATTTGGTAAATGTGCGACCTTTAGCAGCTATATTAAATGTAAGTCAGGTGTCAAAAAACCAACTGGAACTTCGTCTAATGATACTTCTTTCAATGTTGAATCGAAAAGAAGAAACCTTGCTGTTCGCATTTTGAAATTCAACCGCTATTACAAAGAAAACCAAACTCACATTTGGATTTGGTCATAAAAGGGGTTGAGCTACACTTACAAGTGACCGAATTTTGACACGATTCCACAACAACAATTCGAAAAACTCACTGAAGATCTGCAACAGAACGACAGCTACAGCCTACAGGCAAATAGACAATAGTCGGGACTCGGGAAAGCAGAAATACCAAACTTAGCATAGATATTTACTAATATTTCACGAACCCTCCTCAGAAAAGTGACCACCATCTCCGGCTTCTGTTCTCCCTGTGGTTGGGTGAGGCGCCGGTGATAGGACTCTGGTGGCGGGCGTGATTGGCGAAGTTCTGGTTTCCTGCCAGACCTCTTCTTTCCAACAGCGGACTTCCTAACCACAGCACAAGAACAATACCCACAAGACTGACAATTGGAGCAGCTGCGAGAAGAAACCATCTCCCCCGACTATTTTCTCCTCTCGAGCCATTAGTGGTTGGTTCCCTATTTGCTGCACTCTGCTCATGCTCCTCATCTTCATAAGCTCTGTTGAAAGCACCGGAGGAACTGTCCACACTTGCATTCTGCTGCCGGACATTGTGGATCTCTGCTCTAGCACTAACGTTCCGTTTCCCCTCTTCGTAGTCTCTGTCATCAGTCGGTAGCTCATATCGACACAGTGGACAAGTATTCCGTGTACTCAACCATGGCAAAATACACATAGAGTGATAGAGGTGAGAGCAAGGAAGCTTATTCACTTCAGTACCAATTGTCAATACATCTTTGCAAATTGCACAGGCTAAGTCATCATGCTTGTCATGTTCCTTGCTAATGACAACACGAGGCAGATTATTCACAAAGGACGCAGAAGCTGGAGGAGCTCCTCGTCTTAAGCTATCAACCTCAGCAAGATGCTCGAGCAATTCTTCAAAGCCTCCAGCATCAAGATAATCACCAGAATTTCCATCATAAGGCAGCATCTCTGATTCGTCCACGTTAGAAAAGAGGGTACGGGTATATATTTGACTCCTCCTCCTCATTCTCCAATGAAACGTACCCTCAGAATCGGGAAAATATGTATGGTGGCGCCCAATGGATGGTCCATTACTTCTGCCTGGACGCGAAACTAAAAGATTACGAAGCCGGCCACCTGGGGTTTCACTAGATTCAACCATGTTTACTTCAATGTCGGCTTCTTCCCACTCATCATCTTCTTCATCCCCCTCATCATCATCGTCCTCAGTGTCATCTGAGTTCCACTGGCTAAGACCAGCATGCATTGGATCAATGTCAGTATCACTATCATAAGCACTTCCATCATCTGGTGGAATAATCGTTTCAGTATCCAGTAAACCATGTAGGTCCACAGAAGCATCAGAATCCCCTCCATATGCACTTAAAGAAATTGCATCGCTCTCACTATGAAATACCCTGTACCGACCAAAACTGAGATTTGATTCAGTTTCTCCATAGAAAGAATCCACATTTTCGTAACCCTCACTTTCAGTATCAGAGAGCACTCGCCGCCATCTTCTAGACCCACTTGGTGTAGTACGGTTGCTTGTGCGCAGCGGTATCCTAGTCGCAGAGTCACCACCCACAGGTAGTTCCTCAATCCCAGAGCCAGGGGATTGGTTCTGCCGCACCAGATTAATCATATGCGAGAACTGTTGTGAAAAAGTATTCTCAAGTGACTCGGAACTCCCAGTCCTAGCTCTTCTTCTTGTAGGTGGCGTCCTCTGATAAGAATCATGTGAGGGGGAACCAAGATCTTCAAGGTACAGAAATTTACAGTCCCCGCACATAATTTCAACATCTCCAGTCGCCTCATTCTCGGGTGAAATAGCCCTTTGGCATAGCGCACACGTTGCAGGCTGCCCAGTATGTTCATTTACCACACCACTATCCTCATGATTGTCGACAGCGGACTGAAGCAACTCTTCCAAGAAGCTTTGTGAGGCTGCATCCATCTGAAACTGATAAAAGACCACAAGATCATGAACAAAGAGAAGCAAAGTTCCATCCGAAAACATAGGATGATTACAAGAAAGAAAACACGCAGACGGGCAGCTAAGTGATAGTAGCATTAATCCATCGGCCAAAAGAAAAACCAATTACACAACGGACACTAATTATTTGAGAAATTCCCCAAACTCGACAGAGTTAGTGTTAAATGGAAAACCCCCGAAATTGAAGCTAACAATTTTTAATCTAAAAGCCTAGAAATCATAAGAAAAACAGATGTTGAGTTGACAGTAATCTCAGCCAGCAGTCTCTAACAAAAATTTGACTATGAAAATGTAAACCCATCTCTCAATCAGTATCAATCTTCTTCCTCAACAAAAAGTTCCAGATTTCTTGCAAGAACATACATACCCATCTCGTCATTTGCATCTGAAACCCCATTTTTCTACTAATACACAACGCAATGGCGGCCATTTATACAAATTCTAACAACAAATCCTCAAAAACAATGAGAAAAGGGAAAATTCCACAACGAAAACACAAATAACAATTTGGGTTATCAGAAATTTCAAATCTTTTGGGGGTTCAGAGCAATTACCAAAGAGACGAAACCCAAAAGCAAAACTACTCCGATCTTTCGAAAACCCCAACAACTCCGATCGTCACATAAAGCTCCGATCTGAGAAATGCAGTGAAATTTCTGAAAACGTGAGTTTTGGGGAGGACGAAGGTCTCACTCACTCGGTCGTTGGAGAAATGAAGGAGATGAGGGAAGGAAGGGGACGTTTGTGAACTCGCAAGTCGAATCGAGGGCGTGTGAACGCACGGCGCACGTCTCATGAAATCACGGCCGTCCATCTCGTTTCATCGTTTCCACCTAACGCTAGCAGTGATACAAGGCGCGTGGAATGATTGAGTTACTGTGACTCACCATCTTACGATCAGTAGGGCCTACGGTTTAGCTTTATGGTCCTAGCTTTTGTCGTGGCACTAAGATTGTCGATTGGGTTTCTAGGGCCCATTGGGCCAATCAATTTCCACCTTCACTTTTGATGTGGGCCCCTAAGACTGGCCTTTTTGGTGAAATTGGAATATTGTAGCTGTAGATTTTACCACTAGCAACCATAACACCATGTCACCAACCTAATCCATAGGCACTAATTTTCCAAAGAGATAATGTACTTTCTCTCCTTGCTTGTTAAGGGTATCCAAATTCCAAGACATTATTGCCTTTTGATCGCTTTTATATCAATTGAATTTCACGGGGCTTAAAAACCCATGAGCGTGTGACTGATTTTGAGTTTTTTATGCATTGTAGTACTCATAATGCATTGTGAATACTACAGTGCATCAACTTCTCATTGCTATTCACGAACGTTTGAGAAACTCTGAGTTTTTTATGCATTGTAGACCTCAAAATTCATTAACGCCTCACAATCTTCTACCACAGACTCATTATGCATCAATCTCACTATCGTCCACACGTGTAAGAGCAACCCTGAGTTGTTGACGCATCATAGTGTCACAGAATGAGGTTTTGAGGTTCAAACACCTTGTGCGGGCTTAGACTCGATCATGGAGCCTTGGGCTTGAACACTCCCACGACAATAGGTTGTGGAATGCATTAATGTCTCACAATCGTCTACACATACTCACAATACATTCAATTTCACCGATGTCTGTACGTGCGTGGACGAACGAGCGTAGCATTCCTCAACATGTGTAGGCTTGAGCCCCAACCTTGGGCTTAGCCTGAGTGTTGCTATTTCAACCCTACCCAAAGGAAAACAGTGAAACTTTTTATTTGTTTTTTATTTATGCATTTTTCAAAGTTCAATGCTTCAATAATTTACTGTATTAGAATGTTGATACACTGTGTCTGAGATGCGCGTGGGTTTAAATTTTTTACCTGAAATGCAGAGCAATCGTTTGCTTCTTGTGAGTGATGTCTCAAAGAAAAGAGCCCGACAGTGGTAAAATATGAAGAAAGAGGGTCCTCTCAGGATTTCTCTTTGCAAGGATAGAGGGGATTTTGCAACGGTCTTTGTTTATTATATATCGTGCGATCAGTTTTTATCAGGTATTATTTATATTTAATCTTAAATAAAAATATTTTTAATGATTTTTAATCGCACAATATATGATGAACAGATACAATTTGAGAAATGCCCCTCTCCCTCCATCAATTAGGTATAGATTTTGACATTTTGTTTCAGTTACTGGACTCCAAATAAAAGACTTACAATTTTTAAACAAAGATAAAAAGAGTTTAGCGTGTCAACATAAAAATTGTTGGAGTATTACTATTATCACAAAAAGCTTCAGTATAATTAAAAGTTAAACTCTTCAATATAAATCGAATTTAATTTTGTTAATTTTCCGACATGAGGTGGTCGCATCTCCAACCAATAAGAGAGTGAAAATCACTAACTTTCAGTTATTATTACATTACAAAGAAAATCAGGAAAATAATAATTGTATCCATCGTTTTAGGATAATGCTGGGGGAGCCTGGTATGGAACAAAATAGGCACCAAATAGAAACACACATTTGGGGTTTTAACAATTTTACCTTAACCAGAATATTCACATATCTCTCATACAAAGAAACAACAACCCTCGGCAAAACTGTAATCTCTCATGATCGTCCTTCTGATCTCACATTTTTCACCTGCATATTTCACCTCCTCTTCCTTCCTCTGTTTTATAAACCAACACGAAACACAGAAGCCACCTGGTAAAAGCTAAACCCCCCGAAACCCCGGCAAAGCTGATACATTTGTTGTTTGTGAAAATGTCTAGGTGGGTTTTTGTTCCTGTGTGCAAAAACGTACGAGGATGTCCGAAAGTTCTCATCTTTGTCTTTTTTTGGTCTGAAAGTTTTCAACTTTAACAATGTGGGTTTCTTTTTTCTGTGGGTTTTGGTAATTGTTTATGAACTGTTTGCGCAGTAGAAAATTGGACAAGTTAAAATGGAAGGTGGAGGGCCACAGGAGGAGCCCCAGATTATCTGCTTTGGAAGCATGTAAGGCTGATCAGCTGCCGAGGCTTGTGGGTGCGACTGGTCCTACTGCGACTGCTAATGCTGGTAGTCGTATTTGTACACAGCAGCGGTTGAAGAGCCAGGTGGGGAAGGATAAGGGACCTGCTTTCTGGACAAGGGACAGAAAGAAGAGAAAACTCAGACCTGTTGATGAGGTAGCTGCCACTGCACCTTCTTCCCCACTGGATCAGGAAAGTTGCTTCTTGTTTTCTGTTTCCCTTTGTGACACTATTGTATTGTCACATCTCGTTTGATGGCTCGTCCTGGACCCGATTATTTCAGTTAGATTGGACTATAGTGTACTCGTTGCTGTTCGGTGAACTTATAAATGTTGGGGTTTTCGTATATCATATTAACATTATGTTGTTTGCACTCGGTTTCAAATTTTAGTAGTGTTGTGGGATAGGATGTGACAATATTCTCGTTTGGTGACTCGTAACTATTTCAATTAAATTGGACTAGTAAGTCTGGTTTACTTGCCGTTGTTTGGTTAACTTATTAATCCCGGGATATTAAATCAAGTCCCCCAATTCCCTTTCTGTTGTTTGCACTAAAGTTCCAAATTCCCATTTTAAAATGCGTTGTACAGGGTCGAGTGGAAAATGGCGATGGTGGTCATCAAACGAGTACTGGTGAGTCTTTTTTGCCGATTAAATTACCTGCTCTTGTATTTCAATGAAATGCTGCTGTTGAATTTGCAGTCTATTTGTTTTTTTGTATCAGATCAACAGGTTGTGCAGGATAAAGATAGCCTAAAGCCTGGAGTTCATGCTGCCTCTACTGGTTAACCTCATTAATTTCTTCCTTGACAAGTCTCACTGTACATTTTCTGTACTATATGATTTTGCAACAAAAATGAACTTCGTTCTGACTTTGTGCTTGTATTAGATCAACCATCGACTGAATCTGCAAAATGGTTGCCGGAAAAACGAATACTTGAGCTTATCCTTGACAAATTACAAAGGTTTAATTTTGTCATATATACATTTCAAATACCTTTGCTATAAATTTTCTTCCTTATGGGGGTAAGGCTAGCCGACATTCACCTCTCCCAGACCCTGCGTAAAGAGGGAGCCTTGTGCACTGGGTACGACCTTTATGTTGAATCGTTGATAGTGTTTGAAAATTGCAGGAAAGATACCTATGAGATATTTGCTGAACCAGTTGACCCGAATGAGGTGCATATCTTGTTTTTACATTGTCATCTCATAAGGTGAACGTTTCCTTCTCTTTTCGGTTATTGTTTTCTATTGTTTTCTACTTTTTTACAAGGTTGAGGGTTACTATGAAATCATCGAAGAGCCTATGGATTTCGGGACCATGAGGGCTAAACTTCATGAAGGAATGTATAAGAATCTTGAACAATTTGAGGTAACCTTTCTCAAAAACTATTTCTGCTTTAAATGTAGTTTACTTTTTCACCATAAGGCAGAAAAAGTTCAAATAAGAAGCTAATTTAGACAAGTTCATAACGATTTTGGGGACAACTTACCCTAAATTGGTTCAGCAATTATCAAAAGCTATACATTTGGCTATTTAGACTGTTTGGTATTTGAATATTATCTAATGTGACATCTGATTTATCATCTAACTGATAATTAGTGAACTGTTTGCAGCATGATGCATTCTTAATAACAGAAAATGCAATGCATTTTAATTCTACAGCTACCATTTATTTTAGACAGGTATGCTAATTGGACCTCTTGAAAACTTTTGGAAAGTTTACTCTGAATTCTCCAACTAGAAAATCTTACTATAGTCCACGACAGAATAAAACCACTTGGTTTTTACAGGCTCGTGCCATTCACGAACTAGCGAAGAAGGTATTTCATGTTTTGAAAACCTCTCCCAACAACTTTGAACTAGAATTCTCAGAAACAAGACAAAGAAGTGGTAGGAAAGCTCAAGGTGAAGCTGGCAGGTCAGCTTCTAGCTCATATCTTAAAGTTGTTAAAAAACTACCAAATCCCTTTCCATGAAACTTGGAGAAACGTTGAAATCTATGCCGTGCTCACTTAGGAGTTCATGAAATTTCAGGAGAAGTCAAGTAAAGATTGGGTGTTCCAGTTACATTGATGCAAGAGAGCACAGAGTTCTTTCTGGTAACATGCAAACTAGATGTAATGCTTTAATGCTAACTTTGTAATTACAAAGTCTACAAAGTTAAAACTTGAGAACCTTGAATCTTGTGTTTGTTAATAACAGGTACTCACGATGGTAGAAGGTCTAGATCGTTCGAAGGAGATCCACGCAGCACATATAGACCTTGGACATCCTTCCTTGATGAGGATGAGTCGACAAGTCTGACAGTAATTAGTAAATTAAAACAACTTGAGCATGTAAGTATTCTTTTCTTGTGTTTGTGTTACGCACAAGTGTTATAGACAGCACATATTTCCTGCAAGGCTAAGAAAACTGAATCAGATTTTCATTTGTGTTTTCCGATGATGGATGTCATGAAATCCGCCATGAGAACAAGTCATTTTTTGGTGTAGGTGACTCATCAAGACATTGGTTACACTGAAAGCTTGATGTTATATGTTAAAGATTTAGGACCAACAGCTCAGAAGATTGCTAGAAAGAAGTTACTTGGATGTTCCGAAATGCATAAAAGTCAAGCTCCTTTGGCATCCACCTCTTCCCAATTGGCACCTAGTCCTCTGAGCAATGTGTTTACTTCACCACCAAGTCATAATTTCCAGGACAAACTTAATGAGCATCCTTCAACTACGAAAATCACTGGAAAAAAGGGATCTTTAGGTGATGAAATGGGCATCCAAGGTCCTACAGTTGGAGGGAAAGTCCAATGCAATGAAATTCATCCGAACTCTTCTTCCTTGAAATCTCATCATGCTGGACTTGCAGACAACAGTTGCTCAGTTTCCGGCTTCAAAAACACAGGCAGCAACTCGACACCAATGATACTGAACCAATGGAAGTCGGTTAATCAAGCACAACCCTTGAAGCAGCCTTCAGATTATAGTTCTCAGTCAAATTTCTTGGACCCAAGGTTGAGGAACAACATGGGATTTGCTAGTTTTAGCAAAACTAAGAACAAACTGAGTTCATTGCATTTGAGAGGAGATGATGATCAGACAAACTCTGAGGCAACCCAAGCGTCGAAACCCGACCAAGGTAGGCCAATGCTGGCTCAACAGTTCACATTTGATCTGCCATATTTGAGAGCCCAACTTGGTAGGATAAATTCTTCAGGACAAGATAGATTAAGCTTGCAGAAAGGTTCAGGTGCAGAGCTGATGGTCTTCCCAGCCGAGATAAAACTATCAGAGAGAGATGAGAAATCAGCAGCTTTATGGTGATAACCAAAACCAATCATCAGTGGGTACTCGGTAGTCAGTATACTGATTTAGCTCTTCAGCTGTAACTTGTAAGAAAGCTAGTTAAATTCTAAAAGTGAAAAATCCCCTTTCTGGCACTATTATTAATAAAAAGTCCTAAAGTTGCGATTTAATAGCATCGCGGGTATACAGACATGAGCTTTGCCAAGTTGGCTAAAACTCTGTATTTTTTCTCTACACCAAGTTTGAATTTCCCTCCTCATCCGTTTCAATTTTTTTTTTTAATAATTCCAAGTGTTTTCGGAAAAGAACTTGGAAGTGCTTCTACTTCTCCATAACTAAACTAAGCTCTAGGATAAGTAGGTTTTTTTTTAATATTATATTTTGGTTTAGGGTTTACGTGGTTACTAGTTACGGGTTTAATTACAGGACCTGGATTGTCTGCCCCCCCCATCTCATACTCCTCCTATCCCCTCCTATTTTTGTGGTCATGGTTAAGTCACGTCAATATTTTATATTGATTATTTTATAGAAATAATAATACAAAAAGGAAAAATTAGTATCTGGTCCTTAGTTCTTACTGTTCATTGACTAAAACCTTATTAGTTTTCAAATTTTGATTCAAGTCCCTAGTTTTAATGTGATAATGAATTTACATGTTTATTATATAATTTTTTTAATATAAAAATTAGTAATTAATTTAGGGTTTAATACTCACACCTCTATTAAACTTCTAATTAATTTTCAATTCAAACATTTCCAAAATAATAAAAAATTAAATTAAATTAAGTTTGTACCTATTAGTTTTTTTTATATATAAAAAGATTCTCAATTTTTTAATCTTAAATGTACCCATTCATATAATTTTTCAATTTTTTTAATCTTAAATATACCCATTCTCAAATATATCAATTTGTTATATGTAAAATGTACCCTTTTTTAATATAAAATCCATTCAAATTTTTTAATCCATGTTTAAACTTATATGGGTACATTCTTTTTGGTTGATTTGAGAATGTATCCATGTTTTGGTACAATAACTTTTTTTGTTAATTTTGGTTAATGTACCCATACATATATGTACACACACACACACACAATATAATAGAGAGTATAATTTATATTTTATTATTTTTAATCCCATAAATTATGGGTTTTATTTAAAATCTCATTAATATAAACAATTACAAATTTCAATTTTTAATTTTTAATTTAAAAAAAATATAGTAATTTACATTATTACATTAATGTCAGGGACCTCAATAAAAAACTAAAAATTAATAAGGTTTCAATCAAAGAATATTGATAGATGGGGACCGCATCTAAAGTGTCACATACAAAAAACAATGGGAATATAAAATGTTGACATGACTTAACCTTGACCACAGAAATAAGAGGGGATAGGAAGGGTATGGGATGGGGGGATGGGGAGGATAGGTCTAGATTTGATCTTTTATTAATATAATGAGCCGTTTACGATGGAGAGTGATATGATAAATAAGATTTGATGCTTATAAAAAGAATTATGCATATAGGTAGAGATTTTCTGTATTATATATTTTTTTCGATTCAGTTTCAATACGAATCGGGTCGGTTTCGGGTTTTCGGTTTCTTTCCACCCCCAGCAATTACCGAGCATATTATACGTACAGAGAGAGTGAGGTAGCATACAAATAGGGTTACTTGTTGATGAAGCAATTAATTAGATAATCCGATATAATCCATAGATTATAAAAGCATGGCTCTCACGTCAAACAGCTGGCAAGGGGTCCACTTCCAAACATTAAAACTTCCTCTCCAACATATTCGTGAGTTATCCCACGACAACACATTACAACATTTTACAACATGTTTATGCGGGATTTGGATCCTATCCGCATTCAAATTGGGAGAATTTTAAAGATTTTTACATTTTAACCGTTCATTGTACATTGTACATTGTACAGTAAAAAATTATTTTGAATTGTAAATATAAAATTAAACATAAATAGCACCTAATAAAACCTAGTTGCAAAATGTACGATGAACGATTAAGATGTAAAAGATGATCCGGAGAGAGGATCCTCATCCGTTTATGCGGCTCTCCCCCTCCAAATTATTAGGTTGCATCTTCTTTACTTAATTTCTTTCCCTTTTTTTTTACTCGAAATTAGGTCGATTTAGTGGGAACACAATGATTAATCTATATCAGAAAGGTAAAGCCTCTTAATCTGATTCGCTAATACTGAGTATTTTCCTATTGGAGTTAATTTTGATTTATAAGGGCTCGTAAAATAACTGAAAGTATTTTTAGAGAAATATTTTATTGGTTTCAAAAGTAATTGTGTTAGTTATATGTTTTTTTCCTGAAAGTACTTCAAGTATTTTTTTCATGATTCACTTACATTTTTACTAAATATTTGTTTTAAAAATATTTTAACCAAAAACACTTTCAACCATTTTAAAAACACTTATATACGAGCTCTAACTATTTATAAGCATACGTGGCATTGATATTAGCCCATTAGGATATTTTTAGTTATAAATCCATTACAAGTAACCATGCACGTATTTCAGTCCATGACTTCCCTTGCATTAACATTTTGATTAATCAAGGGCGGTTGATCTCATACGTAATTCTGATTTTCTTGAATCGTTAATTTCTTTCGTTTCAAATAAGTAAACATATTATAAACGTGAATTTGGATTGTCGCATTTCCAAGTGTTACTTTTATTAGTTAAAAATGGCTGAGTTCTAAATTTTTTCTGTTTCTGTTTTGTGTGTGTGTTTTGCGGTATAACATTCGTTCATTTCGTATTTCGGTTTTTTATTTGCTCGGAGAAGAAAAGGCGGAAGAGTTGGTTACTTACGCCACCCAAAAATAACCAACCGCCTTCTTCCTCCTCCTTCTCCTCCTCGTCCGTCGTTGTCATCGCGATGGTGACGATCATCGAAAGGGAATAATATCCAGTCAACCCGCTAACCACTAATACGTAAAGCTCCCGCAGCGGAAATGGCGTACAGGAGAAAGCAGGGGATAACAAGGTCGTCAACCTTCAAAGAAGAGATCATTCATCGCCCCCCAGACGACAATTCTGCACCGAATTCATCTTCCCTTCTGCAGTCCTCGTCTTCGTTCTCCGGTTCTTCATCTTCGTCTCGCCGCTCAGGCCATTCGTGCTTCTGCGCTTTCCGTCGAACGCAACAACCGATCCAAGGTTTTCTTTTGTTCTTACTGCCGTGGATCTTTCAGTCATTCTTCTGGGATTTTTAAATTCCGTAATAATTATATGTTTTCTGATCTGATCTGCTTATCTGGGTTGGTTTTATTTGTATTGAATTGTGATTGCGGTACATGAGTTAGGCCAGTTGGTCAAGATAGTATGCAGACATCGAGTTCGAATCATAAGATTAAAGTTGTCTAGAATGTCGTCTTATTGACAAAAGTGAGGAGATTGTGATCATAGCTATAAATAATGCAGGACTTCTCTGCCTATGACGATGCATCTGCAAAATCTGGGTTTTGGGGTGTTCTGGCACGGAAAGCTAAGGCCATTCTTGAAGAGGATGGTGAATTTCCACAAGATGATATTGCTGGAGGGCTCAGATCAAAGCCCTCCGTTGCCTCCGGTGGCGCTCAGGTGAATCTCCAACATGATCTTTGTATGAAATTATGAAATGGGCTTCCTTCAAGTTTCCTACTTTCTCTACAAATACACACATCTCAGACACCGTTAGTTTAGCCCGTTTGATAACCATTTCGTTTTAGTTTTTGTTATTTTGATTGCTGAGTTTTGTTGTATCTTTCCCTTTTGGAGACAGTTCCAACAACAAACATATTATCAGTCATATGACAACTCTAGAAGAACGGAAAATCCTACAATCCGAAAGGGCTTGGATAAAATCACGACTTCCCTTAATCAGCTCGGGGACACGTTTGAGAAGGCTTTCGAGGTATTTAAAATTCCTTGCTTGCTAATTGTAGATAATGGATGTATGTCGAGTTTAGTACTTTGGGAGACAAGTATGTTCATAATGTGCCTTGTGTTTTGTGTTTGGTTTTCAGGAAGGTCGAACGATGGTGGAGAATAAGACCGCCGACATCCAAAAGCAAATTAAACGAAGAGGAGACAATCCAGATTCACAAAATCAAGCTTCTTATTATGGGAACCAGAACAGTTCACCGCTGCAGCCTAAGAACCATGATACTCAACTCAAGGCATCACGCGACGTAAGGTGGCAATTATGTGTGACTGGTTTGTGTAATGACAAGACGAAATGATCTGACTTGAGCTGAATTATATGTTGATAAAGTGCTTTGGATGTGATTTTTGCTTTTCGTTTGCGATTCATTTAGACTTACCTTGAGCCGGATGAATGCATAAATGGTGTTTGTTTTTTGTCACAGGTTGCAATGGCAACAGCTGCCAAAGCAAAATTACTTCTTCGGGAGCTGAAAACCGTCAAGGCAGATCTGGCTTTTGCAAAGGAACGATGTTCTCAACTAGAAGAAGAAAATAAATGCCTTCGCGAGAATCGTGACAAGGGGACCACAGAGCTGATGATGACTTGGTATGTTTCTGTTTTTCCCTTCCGTTGTCATTGTACTTACCGACGATCCACAAGTAGAATAGTACGACTAACTGCAATTTGGCTAGGACATTGTGCCCCCATCCGCATCCAAGTTTAATTCTCCTTCCCTGAGTATGGTTTAAATTAGAAAATCGCTCGAATAGTGCGACTAAATGCAATTTAGAAATGTTTCTGACATACATATACATGTGATCATATCAGATCCGCCTTCAACTGGAGACACTTCTGGCGGAGAAGGCTCGATTAGCGAATGAGAATTCAGTTTATGCACGCGAGAATCGGTTCCTGAGGGAAATTGTTGAATACCACCAGCTGACAATGCAGGATGTTGTGTATTTAGAAGATGATGAAGAAGTCACACAACTTAACCCCTTAACCAGCCCCACCGGCGTCTCCAGGATGCTCTCCATTTCCCCGCCCTCATCAGCACCCCCATCCCCGCCTCCAGAGGACTCTTCATCTGCAACCTCACCAGCTACTAAAGATATATCACCTGTCCTTACCAAGCCACAAGAAAATAAAGACGTTTTTGTGAATCTGGCCATGCCGGGCAACGATACCTTAGCTCACAAGAAAGCAGATGGTAAAACACCTTCTTCAACAGAAGCTACTACAAAAACACCTCCTACAGCAGAAAGTATAACTAAATCGCCGACAACAGCAG